GAGTTCACGGTCTCTAATACCGTCAACTGGGTCCTTTCAGCGTGAACCCAGGAGAGTGAAACGGCGCGTTTTGGACGACATTGAGTTCACGGACGCGTTTAAGTGTTCACAGTCGTGAACTGGCCAACGCGTCCGTGAACTGGTCACTTTCGGGCATGTGAGATTTGAAACATCTCGTTTCTTTATTGTGTGATAGATCCCTCTTGCATGATGTGTAGCATTCATGTTGTCACTAATTACGATGATGGAGGCATAGGATTAACCCACGACCAAATTGACTATCCTGGTGTCATACGCCCTAGCCAGCCCCTTTGAGCCGTGTATCTTTCTTTCGGTCTATATTGAAAAATCACCCTTTTGCATCTCTTAGAGGTTCCACAGAGTGGTTTTTGCATGTTCTCTGCTGTTTCTGCTAGAAATAATATGAGGGTTGGAGGTAGTTCTTAAAAGTTGGGCATGTGTTTGAAAAAATGTGCAGAGGTGGTGGTTATCTCAAGAAATGCAAAAAATAAAGAAAAAAATGAATGAAAGCAAAAGAGAGCCACCATATAAATCTGAATCATGCTCATTAAGTTGTGTTTCTTAGCGGTCTGGCTTAGAAATACTAGCATCATTGTGACATCCTTCACCTTGTGCTGTAAAGAACTTGATTAATGCAGAATGGCAGAAAGAAAGTAAATGGGTTGACAGATTGTAACTGTGTCGGTTTTGGAACTGTGGAACCTTTTGTTGTGAATTCTTCCACCACTTAAAAGGCATTTTCCCCATGTCCAAGACCCTAGCCAGTCATCTGAACCCGTGTCTAAGACCTCCTGACTAGTTAGTGGTGACATCCGATATGTGTACTCTAGCATTTAGAGGCTGCCATCATGGTGAAGAGACGTTAGGATTGAGAGAATAAACATGTGCATATTTCGCATCAATTCGTCCTGACCGCACTGGTCGAGAGTGAGCGATTCATTTTCTTGTATTCTATATCCTGGTGAGGACCTTGATTGCACAATCTTTGATTCTGGTAGCTTGAATTCTATGCATGGTTGACTTTGGTGTGTGAGTAGACAAGTTGTGTCACGCTTTGGTTTGTGAACAATAGATAGACTCTTCATATGCATAATCTTGTTGTGATCGGTTGTCATCTGCATGGTCATTGAGGTTTCTATTGTTGTCGTTCGTGTGTTGGTACTAGTTGTTTGTTGAGATCCGTATGTTTTGTGCCATATGTCATGTCCCCAAAAATGTTTTTGTTAAAAAAAATTTGAGCTTACCTTGTGTTTGACTTGGTTTTCTTGGGAACAAGCAAACGGTTAAGTGTGGGGGAATTTGTTAACATTGTATTAGTACATGTTTTTACCCCTCATTGCTTGATTTTTAGCTTGGTTTTCATCATAATTTGGCCTATTTTATGCTATTTTGTGTTCCTTTGTCACATTTCATGTTCTAGCATGTAAAGTGAAGCATAGGCGCAAGTATCAAGTCAACCGGAGATCATTTGGCAATTCGCGAGAAGACACTCGAGCATGACCTAAGGAAGAATGAATTTATACCTCATATTATGGACAAATAATCATGTAAACTTGTCATGAAATAAAGAGGATGAGACTACGAGCATCTGGGATCAAACGACGACTGATTTGGAGTCCGGATGAGGGAGAAACGAAGCATTAAATAGGAGCAGAGGAAGATATACAGGCAGGAGAAATTCGACAGTATTGTTTCCTCCCGTGCCGAGAAGAAATAAGGGCAGGGCTAAAACACGGGCTTCAAAACAAGACCGTGTTTCCACCCCCTGCTCGGTTATAAGTCTGTTTTCTGCGATTTTTGAGAGGGAGAGCTGGGGTTCCAACAAGTGAGATGAAATGAAAGAGCACCCGATACAAAGAGTCCTTGGTTGTTGAATTGTGTGAGTCTCCCTATCCATGAATTGGCTATCTTAGTTTCACTGTTTCTCATGATCCTGGTTTGAGTCTAGTACTCAAATTAAGAGAGATAGGGTACGTATTAGAAGACTAGTTGACCTCATAAGTTGCTAAATGATCTAGAAAATCCTCTATCGACGATCGTGGTTGTATGTTGCTATAGAGGTCTGGAGAGCTGCATTGGCTTGAGTCAGGTTTTCTTGGGGACAAGCAAACAGTTAAGTGTGGAGGAATTTGATGACTTGATATATACACATGTTTTTGTCCACCATTCCTATACCGTTTGAGTCTCATCTCTCATGTTTTAGGTCGATTTCATGCTAGGTTGTTCTTGTTTGTGATATTTCAGGTCCTAGTACGCGAAGGAAGGTTTGGGCATTAGTTTGGGGTCGACTGGAAGAAGTTGGGACGTTTGACGAAAAGCTGAGGAAACCACACGGGCAGACCTAAATTCCACACGACCGTGTGGAACCCCTTTGCGCGGGCAAAGCCACACTGGCCGTGTGAGGGCCCTTTTTGGTCGTGTGGGATTTCCAGAGAGATCACACGGGCAGACCTAAATTCCACACGGCCGTGTGGTTTTGGTCGAGTAGCGTACCTAGAGTCACTAAATCGAACGCGGCGTTTTGGAGAGCTACACGGGCAGCTGGGGATTTCACACGGCAGTGTGATCGGGCAGAACTGGATTTTTAACCCAATTTCAGGTCTTTAAGGAGGGGGGTCGATTTTCAAAGCAAGAAATAGAGTCCTAGAGAGAGAAAGTGCGAATAACAAACCTAGAGGTGATTTTGGAGCTAGGTTTCATCAATCAAGCTTGGATTTCATCCTTGGAGTGAAGATCATCATCCTAGAGCATATCCTTACCATCTTGATGAGTATGACTACTTTGTATTCTGTTTTCCTCTCTCTCTCTCTCTCTCTCTATGGAGTAAAACCCTCTCTCACTTGGGTATGAAGAACCCTGGTTCCATGTGTTAGGGATATCGATTGTAATGACGTTTGGTTTGTAATATTGCTTGATTATAATCGATTGAAGTGTTTTGATTGGGTCAATTGAAGCCTGATCATCTTTTCTTGATTTTTGCTGCAACCTGATATAGATAGAATCTGATTAGGTTGTTAGAGCTTCTTCAATCGGTAGTAGTGAATCGATTATACGAGAGTTAGTCGATTCACTGCTTTGTACTGGAATCCAATTCCATTAGTGGAGTTCTGTTAATTGCCTCAGCATTCTATCCCGGTGAAGACTAGTCGTCTGCCGGGTAGTCTGTCTGATAGGGCTTGGTCAGCTTAAGAGATTCCAAGCTACTGTCAGATCTTCCACAGTTTAATCAACAGTAAATCAACCAAAGGAAATTACAACTTTGACCTAACTAAAGAGCTAGGGGGACTCATTCCCGAGTGACTCTTCCCTTGCTTAAGAACTTCGAACCATTTCTTGCTTTCTTACTACTTTAGCATAAAATCACATTCGCTCAACTTAGTCTCGCTAGATAATAGATAATCACGGATTAGGCAGTAGATCTAGACACCGGGTTGATAAATTGAACTTGCCACTATTCTACATTTTCGGTCTGCGATTGCACTTGGTCGCAGTCTGGTGTTGTGTCGTAGCGTGTCACCTTGTCGATGACCTGGACTATCTCTAACACCGCAACCATGAAGGCTGGCGGTTCCTCTTTGCTCAATGCATCCATCTTTGGTGTGAGGTCAATGGAGACGACCTCTTTTGCAGCCACCACAGACTCTGGGTCGTATGATCCTCTTCCTCGGTGCAGCTCTTCACCGACGGGACGACTCTTGTCTTCCGGTACTCGCGGCTCACAGCTCCTCGGTCGATATTTCAAGTCTTTTAATGGTTAGAAGGATTGTGCCTTCAACTGCCCCACCCGGTTCCCCTTTGAGAGCTGTGATGAACTCATATCGAACGGGGCTCTGATACCAATTGTTAGAAACATAGTTTCTAATGGGTTTGCGGATTGGATCGACATTTGAGGTTTTAGGGATTGGAGAAGAGAATTTGGGATTTAGGGATTAGAAGATAGAAATATAGATTGAGATTGGAAATTTGGGGAAGAAGAAGAATAGAATAGAGAATCGGCTGAATCCTTAGAGGGCTATAGATCAATAAATTAGAAGATAGAGAATTAGGGTTTTGGGAGATACTTAATGAATAATGGTTCTTTCTTCTTTGATAATGAAACCCCAATTACTTATTTATAGGAAATATAGGAAAAACTAATAATAAAACTAATTTTATTAAAATACTACTAACCTTATTTGTAAATATCCTAATAATAATCATAATCATAATTATGGTACAAAACCCTGTTTCATAAGGAAACGTGTTTCTAACAGAAGACCAAGCTAAGAGGTAGCTTTCTTTGCATCCTTGAAAGAGCGACAATAGATGGTTCTCACAAATAAAACCCTCCGATACGGATCTACAGTTTCCAAGAAACACCCAACCAATGGATGTAAACTTGGAGCAAGTTGGGGACCTATTGAACGTGCATTGCGATTAGAGTTTGTTTTGGTGTTTCTCACAAATTGAATAACATCAAGACCTTACTTTAATTTAAACACCGTAACAAGCCTCTCCAAGTTACAAATTACTAAACTAATTATTAGGGCTGAAATGACAGAACAAGCAAGCTTCTATAGCAAGGGCAATCTCAAAAACCCGTCTCTGATGCTCACCAATAGCTTCATTGAGCAATCGCAGACAACTTATATGGATTTGCAAAACACGCCTAGCAAAACTTAAAGAGCTTGTAGACGACGCAATACAATAATTATTGCATGGATTGGATTGGTATCAAGAATCTTTACTATATGTAACATCTCGGACAGCTGGCATAGATGACGTGTATGGAAGAGCCATTGTATAAAAAGGGGAATTTTGATTTGTAACTGGGCATCTTTGACCAATCAACCAATTGTAACTACTTTACCAATTTTGTAGTAGATAGCTGAATAAACACGACTCTTTTCCTCTCTGTATCTTCTTCTTACTTATCCCAATCCAATTCACCAGATTTCCTCCATTAACGATCCTTACAAGTGGCAACCTGTAATCTGGCTATGGCTACTAATACTTCTCACATCATCGATTTGGAGGCGCAAATGGCGGCTGTTCAGCTCAAACTATATTCTGAGGACCAGGATCTCAAGGACGCCATTGCTGCGCTAGCGGCTTCGACAAAGGATCACATCGATGCATTGACGGTGACCTTCGCTCACAGTCGGGAGAAATCGTCGGTTCATTCCCGCCTCACTCTCAGTCTCACTTTTCCGATCATCAACACTTTCGTTCTCAACATCGACGACCGTCAATTCTTGATCATTACCCTCGCTTGGAGTTTTGCTACTTCTCTGGTTTGGATCCTCATGTGTGGGTGAGCAAGTGTCACACGCTTTTTCAGCTTTATTCGATTCTAGAGGATAAGAAGGTTGAATTGGTTTCGTATTACTTGGAGGGCTAAGCTCCCACCTGGTATGAAGGTTGGTCTTTCCGTCATTTTCCATTGATTTGGGGGCAGTTTGTGGATGAATTACTTCGCCAGTTTGAGAACCAAGAGCAACTGAATATTGCGGCGGCGTTCAATCAGTTACGACAGACATCTTCCATTTCCCGCCACTAGGAAGAATTCGAGGATCTTCATTCCCGGATGCTTCGGTTGAATCCGTATCTCAATGAGTAATATTTCATTATAAGTTTTTTGGGGGGAGTCGATGATGAGATTCAACCACGGGTGCAGCTGCTCAATCCTCCTACTTTGGCTTATGCATTCTATCAAGCTCAATTGGAGGAGTCTTCTATTTAAGCTCGGAAGAAGAAATTGAAGGTTGCTTCGTTTGGGCGTTGGTCTGCTGCAGCTCTGGCCTCGTCGAGCATATCCTTCCAGCGTGATCCACCCCCATCGTCGACTTCTCCTGCTCATCAGAGTTCCATTCCTCATGGACAGAGTCTCTGTTACAAATTCGGAGATAAATATTTCCATGGCCATGTGTGTCCCAAGAAGAAACATTTAAAAATGATGTAGGCGGATGTTTCTCCTTCCCACAGTGAGGAAGATGTCGGGGAAGAGGAATTTCAAGATGTTGAATTTGATGCAATATCGACTAGCGCGATATTTAATTTCCGAGGTCCAAAAATAAAGATTAGAATTCTATGATATAAAGATCAATTGGAAGCATTCTTGATGGATAAGATGATGCTCACAATCGATTAATACCTGCTGATTTTGGAACGTGCATGGATGAATTAAGAGCATGGCAATTAATGGGACGTGTAATCATTGCTGGTGGCAATTTCTTGTCAATAGCCACGTAGGTACTAAAGGATGCAGTACGTGAGCTAGGGTTAATTATAGCATGGATTAATTAGTGCTATTTGCTGGAAAGATTTCGTGGAGCTGCTTGGAAGAGGCAGATCTAAAACCGCAAAGGATAAGGAAGGGAATTGATCCGTATCCGCAACGAAGTAGAAGAAGATCCCGAGTACTGCAGCACGTGCTATTTTTTCAGTTTTAATTTGTTTATTTTATTTGGTTATTTAGAGGTCTAATTAGTAATTTTAGTCTTATTTAATTAGTATTATGTTTCCTGTGTTTTCCTATTCCTTTTAGTTTAGATTTATGTTTTTGAGACCTCTATAAATAGAGGGTGTAAGACCTACGAATTTTGTACCCAACATTCAAGTTATCAATTAAGAGTTTTTACTCGTGTTCCTTTGTGAACGTTTGTGCAAGCTTCTGTCGAGAGTCTCCAGGAGTTTCACGTGTCTCTTATCAACTAGAGAACGCGTCTAGTTGTGGCGAGCTTCTACCCAATAGCGATTGGCCTTATTCACGAGTGGATGATTGTTTGATTGGTTTCATATACCAATTGGCCTTTCACACGAGTTGGAATCTGTTTGATCATGTTCCATATCTATCCTTTATTTTCAAGTTGTCAAGAAAAGCTTCGAAATTCCGTAAAAAGAAGGAAGGTTGCGTACTTTGGTCATATAATCCGAGTTCGAGGGTTCTCTCTTGAATTTGGATTATATCAGAATTGGAAGTCTCTCTACAGTCTATGGGTACGGGTTTCACTGGGAATTCTTTGTTGATTTCTGCCGCATCAGGGCGTCGAGAGGTCACAGTTCTTTGATGTTTTGGCTACTCCTACTTCTCTACCTCCTCCCAGGACCTTCAGTCATTCTATTCCACTTTTGCCTAATACAAAACATATCAACATCAGACCTTATTGATTACCTCGCCATCAGAAGGCAGTAGCGGAGATGTTATAGTCGGAGTTCATTCAGGAGGGTAGAAGCCCTTACGCTTCTCATGTTCTACTTATTGGGAAGAATGATGGAACATGGAGATTTTGTGTAGACTAGCGGGAGTTGAACTCAGCTACCATCGAAAATAAGTTCCCTATTCCATATATCGAAGACCTTCAAGATGAATTACATGGCGCTGTGATATTCTCCGATTGGATCTCCGGGCTGGTTATCATCATATTAGAATGACCCCAGAAGATCAATTCAAGACAGCTTTTAAGACTCATCAATGCCACTATGAGTTCCAGGTTATGCCTTTCAGTTTGACCGAAGCCCCTGCAACGTTTCAAGCGCTCATGAGTCATGTGTTTGGGCCGTATTTGATGAAGTTTATCTTGGTGTTTTTTTACGATATTCTTGTATACAGTAAGTCTGTTGCAGAACATATCCAACATTTGACTATCGCCTTGCAATTGTTGATGGATGACAAGCTCTTTGCCAAAGAATCTAAATGTTCTTTTGGTCAGCCTACTCTCGAGTACTTGGGACATATTATCAGCAAGGATGGTGTGTATATAGACAAAAGTAAGGTGGTTGCCATGGTTAATTGGCCCAGACCGAAGTCAGTTAAAGGGTTGAGAGGCTTCCTTGGATTAACAAGGTACTATCGAAAATTTGTGCGTGATTATGGAATTATCAGCAGGCCATTAACTGAGTTATTGAGAAAGAATGGATTTAAATGGAATCATATGGAAGAAGGAGCTTTTGTGGATTTGAAGTAGGCAATGTCAAAGGCACCAATTCCAGCTTTACCTGATTTCACCATCTCTTTTACACTAGAAACGAATGCTTGTGGTACTAGTGTGGAGGTAGTGTTATCACAAGGGGGTCGACCCTTGGCTTATTTCATTAAAGCTTTAGGCTTCAAGAATCAGTGTTTGAGCACATACAAGAAAGAGTATCAGGCAGTGTTAATGGTCGTTGAACAGTGGCGGCACTACCTTGAGGGGCGGCAATTTAATATGGTAACCGATCACGAAAGTTTGAAGTTTTTACTTGGACAGAAAGTACATAGAGAAATACAAAAGAAAGGCCTTGTTAAACTCATGGGGCTCGATTTCCATATTAAATACAGGAAAGGGAAGTACAATGGCGCTGCTGATGCATTGTCAATAGCATTTGAGGAGGAGCCTCTGGTTAAAAACTTCAATGCTATGACTTTTGTTCTACCTGAATGGTAAGTTGACATTGAGCAATCTTATGCGAATGATTCAGAGGTCACCGATCTGATTGCAACTATTGCTGTCAATACTCAGGGTTCATCCCTTTGTTCATTTTCAGCAGGGATTCTTCGATATAGGGGAGCGATTGGGGTGGCTTTTTCAGGCTATTTGCATTCCAAATTGAGTTACATGTTCCATTCTTCTCCAGTGGGAGGCCATTCAGGTACTCAGTGCACTTATCAATGCCTCAAACCTCATTTCTATTGGCGAGGGATCAAGGCTCCAGTTGCCAAATGGGTATTCGAATGTGAGGTCTGGCAGCGTTGTAAAGCAGAGACTGTTGGTTCCCCAGGTCTCCTGCTACCATTGCCTATTCCCACCCGATCATGGAAGAATGTTAGTCTGGATTTTGTGGAAGGTTTGCCTAATTCGCAAGGGAAGCAAGTGTTACTGGTAGTCGTGGATAGATGATTCGGGCCTAATTGTACACTTTTTATCCCCGATTCTCTTTGATGTTTGTTGCAATTGAACTCCAAAAAGGTTGGTTTTACGCGAGGTTGCTTGTGTTTTAGTGTGTTTCGGATCCTAATAGGTAAAACCAAACCCAAAGTCGAAAGTTGGATGGAAAGGAGCAAAAACCGGGCAAAGAGGTGGAGACAGCCAATGTTCACGGCCGTGAACTCAGGCCGTGAACTGGGCGCGATCTCAACTTAAAAGGCCAGCTGAAAAGAAGAAGAGAGAGACCTAGTGTGAGAAACTTTTCCTTCTTCAGATTTTAGAGTGAGAAAGTGACAAACCAAAGAAGAGGAAAAGCTAGGGTTTCATCGCCAAGCAAGGTTTTGGGAATGCCTCCCACAAAGGAGTATTTCTTTAGCACAAGGAGCATGTTTTACCTTTGCAAAGCAATTTAGTTTTAGACTTTTGTTTTCACCAAAATTAATCCGCTAGATAATGTTTCAAACAGACTAAGTAGCGATACATGGACCGGCCCGGGTTGATATTTTAACATACTTGCCCTATATTGCACCCATCTAAGGTTTATACTTGGACCTTAAGTGGGATTTTATTGTGATAGTCGGAGCGAGTCAAGTTTTTGGCGCCGTTGCCGGGGACTTTGGTCCATTATCGTGAAAAGTTTGTTTGGTGTTAATCTAGCTTTTAATTTATAAGTTGTGAAGTGTTTGCTTGTGCTAGACGTGTTGTGTTCTTTAAGTGTGTGTAGGGAGGTGCATGACCCAGAGCAATCTGGCGCCTTTAACACCACTGGACGCGGACATCAACTGGACCCTCCGACTTCTAGCTCGAGAGAGGGAGCAAGCGGAGGCAAGAAGGAGAAGTGAAGAAAGGGGACAACAAGTTGGTCCCGAAATTGAAGTAATTGAAGGAAGAGTAGAAGTTCAGATGGCAGGAAATCAACACCGAGGGGCTAATCCGCTTCCAAACCCCAATGGGGGGAGCGGGAGCCGAGGAAGGGCCAAGTACTATGGGCTATTACATGGCTCCACAGGCAGCGGATATCCAATCTCCTATCTTACATCCACCTGTGGCCACCAACAACTTTGAGATCAAGACCTCTCTCGTGACGATGATTCAACAAAATGCCTACTTTCACGGGCTTGCCCATGAATGACCACGAGAGCATGTCCAAAGGTTTCTTGAGCTAGCGGGAAGCTTAAAGATAAATGGCATTGATGACTCATTATTTGCACATGTGTCCCCTTTGTTTCTTGATCGTTTAAGCTTGCATTATCGCTTCTTTGGCCTATTTTACGCTAGGTTGTGTTCATTTGTCACATTTCAGGTCCTAGCACATAGAGTGAAGCATAGGCACAATTTCAAGTCAATCGGAGATCGATTGGCGAGTCGGGGGAAGAAACTCGAGCATGACTTGAAGAAGAATGGATTTCTAC